TTACTAATGTCAAATGTTTAAATGTCCGCTGTTGTATTGTGCAAAAGCTTAACGAAAATCATAACTCATAAACTAATTAGTTCTATGGCCCTTTAGATGAGGTATTTAGAGATAACTTTTTACGTTCAGCTGTTTTGTTGTATTTACTGTGAAGATAGCACTAGTTTAAAAGGCATGGCCACACTTTTCCCACTTCTCACAGGGGCATTTTCCACGAATGGAGAATATTGCAGCTTTCAAACCTGTGTTCATCTTTCCACCACGTTCCACCTGCGGTGTTCCTGAGCGGAGCAGCTACTGCCAGTCACCGTCTTCACAGGCTGAACTGCTGACATGTTTTCAAGCTGTCTGTGACCAGGAATGCCCCTATAGATCTTCCACACCACCAAGTGCCCCACTACTGTTAGCTGCACACAGGTATCTGGACTAAATTCATAAGAATGGTTTGGGATATTGGCCTTTTGTGGTAAAAACACAAAGACAAAAAAAAAATCACAACTTTCAAAAACGTTCTGTGATGTAAAAACATTTGAAGGTATCTTTATTGACATTTTTTTTTTTTTTTTTAATTCTGATAGGAGTCATTGTGTAACTTTAGACACCGTTGACACTCGTCCTGGGACTCGGACAGAAACTGGAAGCACAAGTTCAGATGGGATTTCTGTTGGATCTGGCAGTGTGATGTTCCCACCAGGCAAAGATGGTTGTGTGGTCACCCCTCCTTCACAGGCACTAGGAGCCCAGGGTTCCCTCACCTTGGCATTGTGGATTAAACCAAGCTCCACTGAAGAGATGTGAGTTTTATATTTACAATTTCTGCTGAACCTAAAGTATCAAGTGTATAGTTAGATACAGTATAATACTCTTTATAGGACCACAAATGTGCAGTAACTTGTTTTGAAACTGTTTATCACTATCAGAATACCAATTTGTACAATATGAAAATAAATAAATATAGCGGTATAAGAGCTATGAACGCATATTTCCCCTGTGACTGACGGTTCGTGACAGCTGTGATAATTGTAACTTTTAAAGTCGAATGTTCTTGAATCCCAAATTCCTCTAAATGATTCTTGAAAATTTTGAAGCACACAAACTGCTAGAAATGCTTTTTTAAACATTGTTTAAGTTGACATTGAAATGGTCATAAATGAGGTTTGTTCTGATGTAAGCCCTATTGATTCGTAGTCATTTCCTTTTAAATTACATAACCAGAGAGACATTTTCGCATTCATATAGTAAGTAATTAAGTTTTTTTTAGCTGTTCCCTTCTTCAGGGGTCACCACAGCGAGCAAACTCGCATGAAAGATTTGGCAATTTTGTTTTACACCTGATGCCCTTCCTGACACAACCTGGGCTTGAACCCACAACCTCAGGATTCCAAGGACCGCAGCGCTGACCACCAAGCTTATCGAATATATTTGTACATATTAGTTGAAACCACAATGTTCAAAGCAGTAGATAAATTCTCTTAAATAATCATTTCTTCTCTTGGTAATGAAAGTGTCTCTGATATTGTCAAGTGACAATATATCATGTTATAATAGTTGCTGCCAGGGTGTCAGCCTTTGTAAATGTCCATTCCACTAAATTTACTGATCAGTGAGATGTA